GGAGCAGAAAAATGGAGGAGGAGAACGAAAATGAGAAGACGAGGAATCAAGCATTAGAAGATTTAAACATAGAGGAGGAAACAAGGAGATGAAAGGAATGAAAGAACAAGAATACTAAGGACAAGAGGAAAGGAGAAAGCAAATATTAGAGTAGAAATACAGACGGGGTAAACAAGGAGGGAGGAGAGGGCAAAAAAAGAGAGGAAAGGAAATGGGAAAAGGAAACAAGTGAGGAAACAAGGAGAAGAGAATACAATTAGAGGTGAAGAGGAAACAAGGAAAGGAATCAATGTAACCACAGAGGAGATGGGCGGAGAAGGAAAAAAAGGACAGGAATTAAAGGAAACGAGATAAGGAAACAAGAAAGGAAGGGAGGAGAAGAAAAGAAGATAACGAGGAAAAAGAAGAAAAAAGGAGATTATGACACAGACAAGGGAAGAGGTAGAGCGTGGAGAGGAGAGAGAGAATAGAGAAGAGGAGGGAAGAGATGAGATGAAGGAAATGAGATACTAGTAAAGACAGGAAGATAAAAGAGGAGAGGTAGGAGAGAAGCAGAAGAGGAGGCAAGAATCTAGAAATAAATAACGTTGCTCAAAAGAGAGGGGACATGGAGAAGAGTGGAACAATCATTCAGAGAGGAGGAAGAGGAGGGGGGAGGAGGAAGATCTGTGCCATGATTTAGCAGACACAGAGGAAGAGGAGAAGAGATGCAGAGGGAGGAGGAGGAGGAGGATTTTCTTTTTTCTACTCTTTTTAGAAACAGAAGGAGGGGAACTCCAAAATAAATCCGTGAAGATCGTGACGGAGGAAGACATGACTCAGCCTCAGAGAGATTTAATAACAGAGGCAATGTGACTCCTTCATCGACAAGTCTGGTGTCACTGTTGGATTATCATAACAGAAATGCAGGAAAGCTTATTTACGGAGATTATTGATGATTAGAACAGGACAATTCCTGTTTACAGCAGATTGATCAGGAAATAATCCTATTTTAGAGATTTGTATGATACTGAGAGTTCTTAATTAACCCTTATTAATGGAAAATTATGGAAATACCTGTGAGAATAAACAAAATGCAATTCAACAGCACTTATTTACCTGGTGTGTACTGTCACAAAAGAGAATATTAAAATCTGTTTAGAGACACAAACGTTTTTTTTCATATATTTAAATGTCTTTTTTTGTACATGTCCGATTTCATATTGTGTAGTATGTTCACAGTGAAGACAAACGACTAAGAATATCATAAAAAATAGATTAACTTGACATTTTTGAAGGGTGTAGTGCAGTTGTTTTAGATGACATAACAAGAGACCTTAAGTAGCTGCTCATCACTAATTTACAATTCTATCCGTCTCATCACTTGAGATATATGCACAATGTTTCTATAGAAGAAAATATTTGCTTATTCAGTATACAAAAACAAACCATTGTCTAAAAATATGATGCAATGGCACTAATTATTAATAAGGGAATTAAATAACCATATCCAAGACTCAAAGTACCCAACTGTTCCTTAGAATAAATATTTCAGCTCCTTGAATGTAATCATACTGCAGACATCCTGGGAGGACCACATTGTGGAGTGATGCTGAGAAACAGCACGACTCCCCCTACAGGCCAATACCTGGTACTGCATGTAGGGGCTAATAAATCCAGGAGCATGCTAGTTGTACGGAAGGGCCACATTAAAAAAAAAATTGGGAGGATTTGAAAACAAAATGTTTTTTTCTCAGAAAAAAAACAAAATATATTTTTTGGAAGAAAAATATTTCCGATGTTAAAGTCAGAATTCTGAGATTAAAGTCGGAATTCTGACTTTTTTCTCCTCCCAAAAATGAAATCATGTGGCCCTAATCCTCTTCCGTATGTTTGCTTTAAGAGTTTGGGTAGGGTTACATTTCAGCAGAGTATTGCCAAGATAATCTTTTGCAGAACATTTTTACATAAGTTCCTCTTCAAGGCATTTAGCATCTTTTCTCCATCTTGTCCAGTCTTTTCCTGACGATAGATCAAATTTCTTTGTACCTTTTGCTGCAAAGATTTTCTGATGACGTTTCCAATATTCCTGCTAGGTTTCTTTACATTTTGGCTTTCTATTGGGAATGATTCTTCCTGTAACGTATACCTAACGATTGTACAAGTTTAAAAGAAAGAAAAAAAGAGAAAACTTTCAGACAAAACGAACCAATCAGTTATACGGTGGCCGAAAGGTGCATACACCTGCAGTTTCAAAAACGATGCAAATATAAAACCTGAAATGTGCCAAACGACATACAAATGAGACATTTTGACAACACATGCGCAGAATTTACCGTACTAAAAATGCTGTATAAAAAAAATGCTGCAAATATAAAAACGCGGCAAGAAGCTAAAAACACAATGGAATAGCCTACTGGGAAATATCAGAAGCAATCATAGATAAAATTGTTAAAATAGGCCAATATAATGTTAACCAACTTTACAAAACATAGGCCTAAATGTCAACAAGCGCTCCAGCTCGCTTGTAAATAGATTTAATCCAAAAGTCCCAATAACACCTCAATGTTTGCCTAGGAATCAACCAACAAGTTTCAACATGTTGATTAATAACCTTAGAGCTGCTGTTAGGTGAGTTTAGGGAGTTTTTGTCAAGAGGCTGGTGGTAGCTTTCCTGTTATCTCCATCAGAACAACCTTCTGGATCCGCACCAGTCTGGTTTCAAGGCAGGTCACTCAACAGAAACTGCTCTCCTTGCTGTCTCTGAGGAACTGCACACAGCGAAAGCAGCCTCCCTCTCCTCTGTCATCATCCTCCTGGACCTGTCTGCTGCATTCGACACGGTGAACCATCAGATCCTCCTTCGCACTCTCCAAGAACTTGGAGTTTCAGGCACTGCACTTTCCCTCCTCACATCATACCTCAAAGACCACACCTACAGGGTAACTTGGAGAGGGTCCGAGTCCGACCCTTGTCAATTAACTACAGGGGTCCCTCAGGGCTCTGTTCTTGGTCCCCTCCTCTTCTCCTTGTACACAAACTCGCTCGGTTCTGTCATTAGCCCGCATGGTTTTTCATACCACTGGTACGCTGAAGACACACAACTAATTCTGTCCTTTCCCCGCTCAGAGACCCAAGTCATCGCACGCATCTCTGCTTGCCTAGCAGACATCTCTCGGTGGATGTCTGCTCACCACCTCAAACTCAACCTTGACAAGACTGAACTGCTTTTCCTTCCGGGAAAAGATTGTCCCACTCTTGACCTAACAATCAACATCGGCACCTCTGTTGTTTCCC